AGTACGCATTAAACTGTTAGAAAACTCCGCCCATATTGATGGTGAAAATTTACTGCTACTACTAATGTAATTTTTTTCAAAAAAATCACAAAAGGCATTTAATTGCTGATTATTTGGTTTTATAGTCATGAGATCTTCAAAAAACATTTTTGTACTTCCTCAGGTTCTAAAAAGGATAATCCAAAGCATACTTTTAAAAATTTTCCAATTTCTGATTTCTTTTTAAAGTTCTTACTTAGGCCAAGTGATTGGATTTTTCTCCACATAGTCTGGCCTAAGTGAAAGCGACAGCCTTTCCGAACTACTTGGGGAAAAATCTCTGAAATTGCTAAGTGAATAGCTTGTTCGAAATCAGCGTAAACTATACGTGGTGTAAAAGTCAAATTTAATTCACCAATTTTATCTAACAAATCAGAAAATGCATCTTTATATATTTTTGTAGTTTTGCCTGTTAATAAAAAAAATACTAGCGGGGTATAATTTGAATTTTTAGCTCCATGGATAATGAATAATTGATAAAATGGTTTAGGACAACTTTTAAACGTACCATCAATATATAAAACGGCACATTCAGTTAAATATTTCAAATTAGTTTGTGTTGAAAAAGCTATTATATTTTTTTCTGAATTATTAATTAACAAAAATAATTCATCTCGATTTGTTTTGATTTCACCTAAATTTGTTAGAGCCAAATGTAGTTCATCTAAATTTGTTGGCAACTTTGGAATCATACTTGAACGTGCATAGTGAATATTTTTTCTTATACGCATAGTGTCTGTAGTAGTTAGACTACTTATATCTCCTTCGCGTAATTCTCGGTGTAAAATCTTACATGGCTTTTCAAACGGATCCTCCAAAGCTTTACGTTTTAATTTATTACTTACTTTTTGTCGAGTTAAAATATTTACATCGTCTTTTTCGTGGTTGTGATTTAATACACTAAAAATAATTTCACTATTTTCATTTAATTTAAAAAATGATTTACACATACGTTTTGTGCATGCCCATCTTTGAATATTATTATTTAAATATTTGTTAAAATGAAATTTATAGGTAGCTATCAATTAAATATAGTTTTTTATTTGTTTCACTAAACATAACACTAATTTCCATTTTTTTTTTGTCGTTAGATCGGTCTGAGTGCTAACTATTAACTGATTGTCGAAAATTACATATTGTATCTTAATATCATTTCTAATCGCTATTCACTAATCTAATCTCATTCCTCGGATAAAACTCATATTACTATCGAATGTACTATACTTAACTAAATATTACTATATTCAATTTACTACAGTATAAACTCAAATGATCGGCGAAAACCGGTCGTCTATTCAAACTTGTAATCTGCCACGAAAAATACGCGCACGCAATTCGAACCTGTTCCGAAAAATACGCGCACGCAATTCGGTTGTCAACCAACATTCGCTTTTTTTTTGGCACGCAATTCGGATGCAGCCGTCTTAAAACATAATTTTCACCTGATTTTAAAATTTCGTCTTGTGATGAATATGGATTATTAAAAATGGATATGACTTGTTGAAGGTCCGGATATTTTTCTAATAATTTAAAATGTTTAATTTTTCCAACATTAAAAAAACACGAAACAGTGTCGCAACCACTTATCGCGTGTAAAAATAGAATAGATTGTTTAATTCCATTTATTTTTTGAGCTTCTTGAGTAAAGTAAATATGTTGTTCGTTATTTCCTTTTCCCGGTTTTAAAAATATGATATTTTTTTCTTCAGGAGTAAGAGCAATCAATAAAACTAGTAAGTCTATGTCTTCTCCAACTACAATGACATCAGGCTCATTTATTGCTTTTAAAATCGCCTCGTTTACTATCATTGTGTCGGCATCATCGGCTGCTTGTAAAACGGTGTAACCATTATTCTTCAAGTATATAGATAACATTTTAATGAATCTACTTTTATTTTGTTGATTTGAAAGAAATGAACTTTGTGCAATTGTCAAAGTCATATTTTCATCGAATAAAATATCTGCTGAAGTATTTTTTATACGTCGATGACATTCTGCATTTTTCGTACTTCGTGAACTTTCATTGTACCCATCAAATACGATTGATACTTTTTTTCCAAAATGTTTTTTTATATAAGATACATATAGTTGGCAAATTTTTTCAAAAGTTTGATTGATTTGCCAAATTACTCGATGTAAGAGAAAACCTCCATCTACAATATAGGTTTGGAAGTTTAATCCAACATTTGTATTCTCCATTGGTTTTATGTAATCATATAGCACAGATTTTTTAGTTTTTCGCATATCGCCTTCAAAAAACAACGGAAGAGGGTATGGAGATAATTCATAATTAAAACACGTTTTAAGTTCTTCGTCATTTTGTTTCATAATTGAAATTCTTTGAAACAATAATAGGGGGTCTATTGGTATTAATTAATCTCTTATTTTAATGGAAGATGTCATAATCCCTAGAGGCAATACTCTACTGCTCCTCTTAAGCTTCACAGATCCATATGTGAGTCCAATCATCTTTTTCATTTCGATTAATCCTATTTCATTGGCTTTATAACAATTTACTCTTTTATCTCCTACAATACCAGTAGCTATTGAAATAATATTATTTATTTTCGGAAAAGGTGGATGAGATGAGTACCATTCAAGTAACTTTTTCAAATCACTTTCATCTCTTGAAATACGTGAGGGCCTCGCGTCAACATGTTGTTCGGAATTGGCCATATAAACACCACAATATTTCTCCAAGGTTTCACATACATCATGAGCTGATGGTAAGCCTTGAACCCATTTTGTCAAGGTGCTATCAGTTATTCCTCGGCCATGCGTCAAACCTCCAATTGTTTTCATTGATCGCATTAGAGTTTGTTCAATAGTCATATCCGTAAAATTTCCACACCAAAATTGATTTATCCGCCTTATTGTAAAATTGCTTTGGTCAATGAATTTTACATATTCGTTTTTGGTCATTTTATTTTTTAAATTTGCCATATCATTTAAATACAATTGACATGCTTTAGCGTATGGGAAATGTCCACTAGCGTGGAAAAAAGGTAACATTTTTTGTATACATTCAATATGTAAATTCCAGTTACCCATTCTTTCAGCCATTATAAATTCTTTCATTAAACATACCATGTGAAAATATTGTACCCATAGTTTAGAAGTAGCGCCGTTTTTTTCTAGTTTATCTAGTTGTATTTTAAATTTTTCACTTAATTGTGTCATATTGTTTTCATTATAAATTTCGTCAAGTAGAGGTGGTTCCGAAGAAAAATTTTTAAGTATATCAATAATTTGTCCCTTCTCTGTATCGTTGATTTCAATTGATTTTAAAATAATTTTTGATAACGCTAAATGTACCAACCCATGTCCTCTGACAGCTCTTGCGTATGCATGGCCAGTAAAAAGTACCGTTCATTATGTACCCAATTGCACCCATAAATGACATGAGTAAATGAAAACCTCCAAGCCTCACTATCACATTCGACAACATTGGAGTATTTTCGACTACATCACGAGCTTTGATATAAAGTGGTTGATCAAACGTGGCGAAGCAGGTGTTTTGATTCATCGTTGTGCATTTCTTTGACGCAAAATTTAAAACTGTGTATATAGTGTCGTAATTACTAGGCGGAGAGTTTACAAATTGGAGTGGAAGTATGCTTGTTCGCGAAAATGGTTCATTTTTCGTAATTTCTGCCATAAATGCAGACCATCCTGGAATAACCGGAATGTTCATAAACTTGCCCAATATCCAAAGTAGATGACGTTGAGATATTACGTATTCAAGTACGGTAGAAAAATTAATTATATCATCAAAAATTACGTTTTTAAGACCTTCATTATTAGTAGGTTGGAAAGTTTTAAACGTTATTTGTCTGAAATTCCCCATACTGTCTGCTGATGGTAAATTTTTCAATCTATTAATCTTATTTGTAGGACAAACTTCAGAGCTAGGTGTAACACACTGTATACCACCCATGCTATGGAACGTGTGTAAGCCATCTAGAGTATTGACGTTAAAATCGGCGTTATCGAAAACGAATTGTGTAAATGAATCTGGTAAAATATCTGGTTGTGGGTGAGATATGGACGATGCTTCAAATAACTGTGCTTCATAATATGTTGAGCAAAATCCGAGACCCGACAAAATATTAATAATATTTTTTGACTCAAATTTTCTGTGTAAAAATACAGAAAGACCTAGTTGTAGAGGTGATATAAATGACTTAGGCCTTGTTGCAGACATTATTGAATGTGCAATCGCAGTACATTTTTTTTCGATCTTTTCTCTTTGTGACTTTTTTTTTTTCAAAATTATACTCTCTAAAAATATTCTTAGGGAATCGGGTACAACATTATCGACATTCTTTAAAAAGTCATTAGGTGATTCGTAATATGAACATTCATGAACTTGTGACCATAGATCTTCCCTAATTATTTCTGCAGCTGCACTAATAATTCGCAAACGTTCTTCCTGAGCATCCGTATGTCTATTGATATACCAGTTTTCATTTAAAAGTTTATCACCAAATGATCTCAAACATAATATAGGCTGTTTGTTGGAATTTTCAGATATTAGAACGTTATTGCCATATTTTTCAATTAACCTTGATTTCACAGTCCTTACTCGTACGTCTGGCTTATATCCATTTAGTCGGTCGATTAAATCAGAAATTTAAAATTGACATTCTTCACTATTTTCAATAAAATCAAAAATAGTATCCATAGCTTCAGATATATTTTCCTGTTTTGGTCGTCCCCTTTTTTGTCCCGAAGAAGCAGTAATTAAAAAAAAACTCACGTAACAATCATGATGATAAATGGCCTCCGCGGATACTAGATCTGGTTCACTGATAACTCTTTTCCAAACCGATTTTCCAATATCATCACCTCGTTCTACAGCCCTCCCTAATATTTTTTCGCGGGTCGATAAACTTCGGACATTATATACTTTAGAACGTTTATTCGCAGGTTTTTTTCGTTCATTTATTAAAAATGCGTCATCAATTTTTTTTTTCACAAAAAAAACATGACTCTTTAAAATTAAATGTCGGTTTAGTGGATCGCAATTTAGCTTTAACGGGTGAACGAACTGGTGGCTGGTCAAGAGTGTCTTGCGGAGTAATTCGATCAACTCTCGCGTATCGTTTTCGACATTCTTCGTGCACTTTAACGGACTCGAGATGTTTTATAACATCGGCTTTACCGTCTTTACGAATGACACTTGAATTTAAAAATGTTATTATGCCTCTTCGTTTTACTATAACGCCATTACCCTCGGTAAACCCTTCGTCACAAATAAAACACGTATTTAACGACATAACGAATAACTCAAAAAACGTAAGAAAACACGAAACACACTGTTAATTTTTTTTCAAAATTCGTGGTTACGGTACTAATAACACAGACAACGTATCGGACGGTGTGACAGTCACTAACTAAATGTAAAAATGTCTAGACACTTAACAATAACACAGAGTAGTAACCAAGTAGCGCCGTCTACCATCGTTGGGCACCCTCCGTAAAAACCAGTCATACAAGGCTACACTCCTCGTTTAGCATCATCCCTTGTTCATTGTTTGTTAGCAGCTGCTCGCCGGAATAACACACGAGACTAAACATATATACGTATATATTATGTACGCATATATTCTACGTTTTTTGGTCCGTTTTCAAACTGCGTGCATACGTATATAATATAATATAATATATAATGCGTATTGCCGTATATTATATACGTCATTATAGCGCGCGGCGCCACATTCTATGACGGGCGGATGGACTTTGTCGCTTATCTATTACTCTGAGGCTAAAAATGCATAGAATATTTTTTGTCGAAAATTGTACGATCTTTAATTTTTATATAAGCTATTTTTATGGTAAAGTTAATAGTTTTAGAGATATTGTAAAAAAACCGTAAAAAAATGAAAAATTTCTCCTAAAATCCAAGATGGCGGACGGTTGCGGACCTCGGAGGGATGGCGCATTTTTTTTGGTCAAACAGGGCCCCAAGACGAAACTTCTTGCCAAGTTTCAAAACTTTAGTATTTAATGCAAGGCAACGCCTTTTTTGGAGCCCTATTGACTGGACTACTAGCTCTCCGAGCGTCGCTGGGGGATACATCCAGGTGTCGGTAATGAGTGTTTTCGATTTCGGAAGCTGCAGTGGTCTGTTGGTCTGGTCGTCAGTCTCGAGCTGGTCGGTGTGTGATAAGGAACTCTGATAAGGTTAGGTCCACCGTGGTTCGACGTGGTAGCCCCCCGGTAAGCAACAACGTTCTTTACTGCCGCCGGAAATTCAAAATTCCGTAAAAAAATTATAAATCGTCGTTGTATTTTTGTGGGTGTCTAGCAGGTCAGTCACCTCGAATGACGTTCGCCGTAGTAATAGTATTTGGGGTCTAGCGGGTCAGTCACGTCCCTCGACTTTGGTCGTAGTCACCCTGGAAGACAATCCAACAATATTCGAATCGCGGACGACGTTCATTACTGTTACCGAAAACGCAAAATTAAATAAAGAATAAATTAAGTGAAGAAAATTCAAAATATTTTGGTTGTCCATGCAAATCATATAGCCACCGTCTGAATTTATTGGTGTCTAGAAGGTCAGTCATCTATGTTATCCAGGTAGGCAACGTGCGACCGGGACAGCGTCCATTACAGTCACCGACAACGTAAAATTAAGTTATGAATTATGTGAAAAAAAATTCAAAACATTTCGTAAGCAATCCTACTACCGAGTCACCTTCCTCGACGTCATTACTTCAAAATTTAGGTCTACGATTTTATAATTATTTATTATTACTAACAATTATTTATTACCTACTTACACCACAGATGAAATATCTATTGGATTTTAACCAAAAAAAACCGAAAAACCTACATCAAATATAGGTTTCGGTTTCTTTTCTTAAAACAATGTATTTAATTGTTCCGGTCCGGTTTCGGTCCTAAGATTTTCAAAAGGTTTCGGTCCAATACCGGTCAATTTCGGTACGGTTCCAGTCCCTGTTATGAACCAATAAATGCATACATATCAATATAATATTACAGTTGTCAGGTGAGTTGATTGGTTGAGGTAATCAAATAGCCACTTTCTTATTTTGGTAATTAATAATTTAATGTAGCATACAAATACTGCTACAGTTTCTATATAATATATATTATTATATTAATAAATAAAAATATCTTTATATATTTAAGTAAAGTTTGTAGGTAGTAAAGTTATTTAATATTTGAATAATATGTTCTATACTATTTGATATTACTTACATAATATATAGTTGTACCTACCTTGTATATTTATTTAATTATGAGAATTAAATCAAATTAATAAATAGATAATTGTATTGATGAATAGCAAATTTGATTGACCCGAAAAATACTGCCCTATTAAACGTAGGTTACATGTGGTTTTAAAGCAGCACTTAAAGCCACTAAAAATGTTATAAAGAAAAATATCGGAGAAAAAAACTTGATGAAATTGACTAAAAAATGTGTAGCCGTCGCGTGAAAAACATTCAAAATTAAGAAGACTAAAGTTCCACGAACAATAAATATTCCGAAAAAAGGCGGTGTGCTACCACTCATACCGATTTTCGCCGGGTTGTCAGCTCTAGGAGCTCTGACTGGCGGCGTAGCCAACGTTGTGAAGGTTGCTAATGAATTTAATAGAAACACTCCATCCCTACATTTGGGCAAAGGGTTATATCTCACACCGTATAAAGGCAACTCATATAAAATAGAAACATCGCATAAAAGTGGTGGGAGTGTAAAAGCGAGAAAATATAGAAAGTCAAAAAACTAATATCTACGTTACCCAGAAGAGCGTTGTACGATTACGAACTTATAAAATATGCTCGCATGATGAAAATACCTCATTTCATCGGAGTGTTTACCAGAGATAGGTTATCTACACGTCCTAAGCGACAAGAATCAGCAATTATTAACTTGGATACAGAAAACGGTACTGGAACGCATTGGGTAGCGTATAAAAAAATCGGAAAAAAAGTCGAATATTATGACAGTTTTGGGAATTTACCTCCACCATTAGAAGTACAACAATATTTTCACGGATGTGACATACATTTCAATTACAGCAGCGAGCAGAAATATAATACTACAAACTGTGGGCACTTGTGTTTAAAATTTTTATCATGTACAGTGTACACATTAACGTTAAACGGAAACTCTAGTGAGTTGTCATGCGAGATCTTTCCACCGTTGGAAGTAGAAAATACTGCACAGATATGTCTTTTGAGCTTACAGACGAATAATTCTATACCAAACATCGAGCCTGGCTGCAATACTATTGCCTTCCGTAATTTGATCAATGAAAATGAGTACGTAATTATACCTACGGGAACATATGAGTTGAATCAGTTAGAGTCTATTATACAAAATATGATGCCTGAGTATATCAGTATGTTTGAATTAAAAGCAAACAGCAGAACATTAAAGTGTATGATATCGTGCAGCCATGGTGTTGATTTAGGAGTTGAGAATAGCATAGCGAAATTGCTAGGTTTTAGAAATGTACTATACACTACTGGTGCTACTCATGAATCTGAAAATATTGTCAACATAATGAAAATAAACTGTGTAAAAGTAGAGTGCAACTTAATCACCGGCTCATTCTGTGACGGAGCCCCGAGCCAAATCATACACGAGCTTTATCCTACTGTATCTGCGGGATATAAAATCGTTGAGGTACCTAGGCATCCAGTTTTTTACGGTCTCAACACGACTTCAATAACTAAAGTAAATATCGTGCTAAAAGATCAGAACGATTGTCTTATTAATCTGCGTGGTGAACCGATAACAATTCGTTTACAAATAACGCGTGGATATGGCACTCAAATTTAATATAAAAAGAGCTACAGTCAAAAAACCTATCAGTATACCGCCTGCCGTTAAGAAGTCTACATCTAAACCGAAAAATATCAAGCTCACGAAAAATAATTTAAATTTTCTTCGTTCTTTACAATGATGGATGACTTATATTTAGACGTGACGGCCGACTATGTCGACGATTGTAAAATAACTCAAAAGAGTTTCCATTAGTTCACACCGTATTCAAGCACCGCTCTATCATACAATGAAGAAATTAAAATTAATGTTCAAAACATGGATTCTTACACTTTGCCGTGTGAGAGTTATATTTACATTGAGGGGAAAATAAATAAACCTGCCGATGCAGTTGGAGATGTTCGTTTTTCAAATAACGGATTGGCATTTTTATTCTCCGAGATGAAATATGAAATAAACGGAATAGAAATACAAAAATTGAAATCACCTGGAGTGTCTTCTTGCTTGAAAGCATACTGCTCGTATACTCCAAACGATTTGAATGCGTTAGAGAATGCGGCTTGGGACTCGGCAATGGATACTGAAGATAATAAAAATTTTATGAGCAACAATGTATTTGCCGGGTGTATCCCTCTAAAACATTTATTCGGCTTTTGTGAAGACTATAAAAAAATATTACTGAATTGCAATCAGCAACTGATTTTAAATCGTGCATCTACCGACCTGGATGCGATACACGTTGTTGGTGAGCGTGCAATCAAATCCGTTGATAAAAATAAAAAAATTACAATTGAACTGACTAAGGTGACCTGGAAGATGCCTATTATCAAAGTCAGTGATAAAGAAAAATTAAAGTTATTGAAAGTATTAGATTCTCGTAAAACGTTATCGTGTGCGTTCAGAACATGGGATCTCTGTGAGTATCCTGTGCTCCCTAGAAATACTTCTCATTCGTGGACAGTAAAGTCTAGCAGCTTGCTCGAAAAGCCGAGATTTGTGCTGTTTGGTTTACAAACAGATCGAAAAAAAAATATCGAAAACGACACTGGTCGATTCGATCACTGTCAACTAAAAAAATCTTAAGGTTCACTTAAATTCTGAAGTGTTCCCATATGAAGACTTTCGCGCTGATTTTAAAAATAATACCACCAGCATACTCTACAAAGCTTATACAGACTTTCAAAAATCGTATTACGAAAGAGATTATTGTGAACCATAATTATCAAAACATATTTTTCAAAATTATGTTCCAATCATCGTTGTTGATTTGTCACACCAGAACGATAACGTTAAATCATCGACCGTGGACCTACGAATTGAATTTGAAACGGATACAATTATTCCAGAAAAAACTGCAGCTTATTGTTTAATACTACATGATCAGATTATAACTTATAATCCCTTTAGCGGAGATGTTAGAAAGTTGTAAACCTTATATTTAACTCTATTTTAGACCTTATAATTATTTTTATACCTTGTAAATATTTTATACCTTGTAATTACTTATAGTACC